AGGATTTATACTTGCGGCCAATATTAGCCTACGCTACCAGCATGATACAGTAAGGCGTTGTCTGGATTATACAGCCCGTTCGCGTAGGAAAAAGAATTTGAAAAGTTCCACGTCTGTCTGACAGCGTTAAAAATTTAGAAACATCACACTTCTTCAGCAGTTTGTTTTATTCAATAACATTCGGCCGAGAGGTGGTAAAGTAAAGTAAAGTTTGTCCCACTATACGCCATGTAGGCGCTTGGGGTGAGTGGAAGTACAGCTCCTCTCTTCCTTGACCTCGGCACTAGAGGGGGGTGAGTGGTCAGCATCACGCCCCGGCCGGCTTTACCCCCGGTACCCATTGGAGAGGAGGCTGGGTGGGCCCCAGAGCCGGTCTGGACACAGAGGCTAGAGGAAAAATCCTCTGCCCCCGTCGGGGATCGAACCCCGGTCGTCCAGCCCGTAGCTGGTCACTATACTGACTGAGCTATCCCGGCTCATGGCCGAGAGGTGGTAATATTCCAAACCACCGGAACCTTCCATCAGTCTTTACCCAACACATGACAACCGCTTCAAAATCGGTATAATTGTATTGACTACCTCCACGGAGCAAAATACTTTTTGACAAACTAGGAATGGCCCAGGTAGTCAAAAGATCGTTTGCCTTTTGGTAACCGTAGTTTCATTACAGTTTACACAACAGCTCAAAATTTTATCCTATCTTTAGCCAGATACTTCAACAAACTAACAAAATATTTTATTATAATCCATTTCAACATTGTTCTTTGTCTGAGTACAGATGACTGTGATCCTAGATATTATGTGGTGAGACAGTAGCTTTACGCTCCGGTATCATTTACCTTCCCGCAGACTTAAGGTACCAGTTGGATATGAAACAGGTTTCGACTCCAGAGCCGATCTGTAGGCTACGACGCGACAAGGACGAGCAGTAGCAGACTGATTTCTACCGGTTTCTGTACTGAGCAAACTTACTGTTTATCTATGAGTTAAGGCTTTCACGTTGTTGAAGAGTCGACAGTGGTCTTCTGGGTTGTGACGCCTTGTGGTCTTGTATTAGGCTACCAATGCTTGAGAGAAAACTTTCACCGAAATGTTGGTAATTACACACACACAAAAAAAAAATCACACGGCGTCCCATCCCAGAAGACCACCAACACTAGACAACAAAGTCCAGATCGACAGAAAATCAACAAGCATTTGTCTGCAGATGGTAACAACGTTTGTAGCCAGGCTGTGTCACGGTTACCTGAAAAGGAAAAACCAAAAACTTGTAACCGTTTCCAGTGTCACGTGACTGTTTCGTGACTCTGGGAAGGCCATTCACGTTTAAATGATTTTAGCAACAGGTTTCACTCATGCCGTATATTTTTATGTCAGTCTGGTAGGCCTAACATCCCTTGCAGAATAAAACGTTTCACTCACGAGCTCTTGCAAATTTTCAAGCGATAAATGTTTAGTTAAAATGTATAACAATAGAAGTACTGTTGCTAGGGAAATCAAATCAGCGTGGGTGAGAGGAGGAAATCAAGTAGAGCGCTTGAAAGAGATGAGAGATGCATACACTCTTTGGTCGGAAAACCTGAACGGAAAAGACCACTTGGGAGACCTAGTAGTAAATAACTTTGTCTTAATATTTCAACACTACTTTATATTGCATTTAACCATAAGCTTCAACAGAAGTAACAGAACACAGAGGTTTAATATACCATATCAGAAAAAGAAAAACTGTTTACGAAAGACCCTTGGGGATATCATTACACCCCAATTTCATTAGACCTATTTTAACATTACACTCCTAATTCCTTTCCGTTCATCCAAGTAGCTGAATGTTTCTATGCAAACGTTTCTCCACTGATATTATGTATACTTCTCCTGTCCCAGCCACTTTCATTCCATCAGCCCCCTCAACGTCACTACCCTACCGACATCGACTGAGCTGCAAAGTTCCTAGATGTTGTGGCGAAAAGAAAAACGCTGCTCTGCTGGGAATCGAGCCCCTGTCGTTCAGACCTCAGCCTAACCTCTGTGTTGTCTGAGTTACAAGCTCGTACATTTCACAGTTATTTCACACAGCAGAACGGTTGTGCTTTAAAACCCAGCAAATTCTCCGTCACAAGGTGACGGCTTGAGGCTCGTAATCTGAGACATTTGCGTACGACGGCAGACTGGCTACCAGTATGACGCAGATTCGAGTCTGCGGGTCTGTTCTACGCCGTATACTATAACAGCGATGTAATTTCAACAGTGGCATCAGCCAGCCATAACGTCTGCACACGTGGCCATCAAACCAGTACTAGGAACATGCAGGTTGGGTGGCATAGCGTTCAGGCTGAGCAAACGAGGCCTGTATCACACAAGTGGGAGCTTCCTGTAGTATATAAATAATCTGGCATCGTTACGACAGTAAAATGGAGACTGCCTTTGACTGAATACGCATTTCACAAGGAATGCGCGCATAATTTTAATGTAGTCTTAGAAAGAGATAATTTGGTAGGTCAAGACCATGAAATAAGCTAGTTTCCCTCCTTAAAGGTTATTTTTAATGTAATAAAACAAGTAGGATAAATAAAACTGTAACTGAGTAATTAATTTCGATAACTTATTTTTACAATCACAGACAAATACAAAGCCTTTATAGGGATCCTTGCAAAATCAATGGCATTTTGAATTAGACTGTCACATTACTTCGAAAATCTGTTATGCTGGTAACTTAAACAAATCTTTGGTTAATTATTACATTTTGTCAAAAGATAACTATTTACCTGTACAGTTTATGCGGGCTATAGGCCTTCATATACGTCCTTTGGGAGGTATTAGACGGATCAGCTGCTTTCGGTTGGGGGGGGGGGGGTGTATGAACAGATTCAGACTGCAAACGCTGTATAAAATCCACTACTAGTTGTGTTTACATAACTGAATACGCATTTTTATACATTGGCTTCGTTTGCTCGTTGCCTGTACATAAGCAAATAAAGAAATCATGGACAAAAAAAATAGTTTTGCTTTCAGCTTTCCACATGCCGACTACACATTTGTTAATCGCCGCCACCCTCATCGAAAATGGAGCGTATAGCGGGTTGCATTTAACAGCCTGTCTGTCTAAAACTTCCTAATGCAACGTTCGCGTGAGTGTTCTTGGTTGTGGGTTAAAACAGACTGTAGTCGGTCGTTCTGCAGAGTAACCCGTGGAAGTTGCTTTGCATCAGGGGTGGGCAATGTGCTCTTTAACTTTCGTTCCTACTTGTAGCCTTGCCTAATCAGGTGTGTGCATTTTTAACTAACTTCAGTTCTTTAATAAGTAATGTAGGCTTATGAAATCACCGTATGTGCGAGTACATTTCAATATTTTAGTAAGCTAATCGATTATCACAAAATTTGGTACGAACATTATACCACGAGGGGTCCAATCATCTTTGAAATTATTAATTCCTTATAGTACGTAACTAAAGTGTGGCGAACGGACAAACGTGTACTGTCGCGGAGATACTAGTGCCATTTATTTTAGAGTCCTGGTTATTTTGTAGTAGACACATATAAAAGGTGAGTAACAACAAAAATTTGTTTTATACAGCATTCAAAATAATTTAATAAAATTTGTAGGTCTTGATGAGTTTCACATTTTGTACTGTGTAAATCTGTTTGCGTTATGAGCTATTTTCTAACATTTATATTCAATGAAAGGTCATGTATAACAAACAGTCCAACGACTCCCAAATACGTATATATTTTAATCACTTAGTAAAGACAACAAACTTTGACTGTATGAAGAAACACTCACTATCAATCCAGGTGCTCCATTTCCGTCAAATGTAGGTTCTACGGAGGGCAGACAACAAAGAACTGCAAATAATTACGAATAGCATAGAAAAATCAGCTGTAGGGGACAGCAGATTCGAACGCCAATCATGAAGGCAGTAAAACAGTCTTAGCACCGCACTACAATTTTCACATTCGATTTGCTGTACAAAAAGCAGGCGTGAATAATCCACCCGCTGTTTTTCATTTCTAATAACTTAACCTCACAAGAGCATTAGAAGTCTTGTCGCAACCACAGGTCTGTTTATCCTTTTTTGCTACATTTGTAGTGAAGATAATTACAGGTCTCAATTTTCTAAGCAGAATAAAACTTTCTCTAATGAAACTAACTTTATAAAGCAGGGTCCTTTTAGAGAAACTGGTCAAAAGTTTCCTCTCCTATTATGGAAACAGAATGTTCATTACCGTGTTCTAAGACAGTGGTATTCAACCGGGGGTACGCGAATACATCTTACGGGGTACGTGAAATTTAAAAATAATCAGTAATGTAATTTATTTCTTTATTTTAGATGTAGATTATATACTATGTATAACTTGAATTAAACACCAACAACTTTGGGGGTACAAAGTTGAAGAGAAATTATATCTGGGGGTACGCGAACAAAAAAGGTTGAATACCACTGTTCTAAGAAATCTGTAGACCAAATTCTGAGCCAGATTAATCCACTCCACACAATCATATTCTTCTTCAGGGTATCCGAATATCTCTGTATATACGTAATTCGAGATGCATTCTACGTGGCCCGTGCATAATAATGAGAGTAAACACGTAACATCTAGTAGGTTATTCAGAAGAGGAAAGACAGAGGAGTAACGCGTTTTTAAACCCCTTGCTACCCAAACGCGATCCGCACTAACGATACAAATAAGTTGTTACGAAGTTCGCTTTATAATAAATACATTATTTCTTACGTCATCCGCCGCAAAATGACCAGTAAAATTGGGTGGAATTTAAACTCATAAATCAGTTAACCAACCACTTTATTGAATAAAATAGAGATGAAATTACAATTTGTATGGGCAACCTTCCCACATGCATTAAGTCAGAAGTCCTCGAAGCTCATGCCACGGTTACTGCTCGTTTGTAGTCGAGAGGCCCAATATCAAATAAGAGATCGGGTTCCCAACTGCAGCGTCGAATTATGCATAGTTTTTGACTATTAGTAATAATATTATTTTCTTACCTTTTGTTGAAACAGTAATGCAGGATCCCACACTGTCCGTTTCTTGTTCAGCGGTTGATATGTTTCATTTTAGTGCCTTCTGCCTCCATCATCAGGGCGATCATCACACTGATGTTGGAGGCAGCACCTCTGAAACGTTGGAAAATTTCTACTAGACTACATGGCGGTACAACCCAGAAAACAGCAATCTTCTGTTTATTTTAGATAGTAGTTTTCGTTGATTTCTTCTTATTTATAAAACATTACAATTTTATAAAAATGGAACTTAACGTTAAAATTCTCAATGAATCATAATCTTTAACTTTATAACCAGATAAGAATGTCCCTGACCGCACATAATGTAACTCTGTATTCGTGTCTGCACTTCGTAGACGACTATCCACTACAACAGTAATCAAACACAGAACCAGTGCTCAATAAACATCAACACAGCAAACAGGTACGTTGCTCCTCCTTCTAGAATTATTCAAGGTCATGTTACAGCTTTCCATTATAAGCTGTCCTTATTGTGATTTGCCACTCATCCATTCGAATTTCCTTTATTTATTTTTCACTGTTCATTATCTTGAGAAGTATAGTACAGAAGTTGAACAAGGAAATTTTCGTGCTGTACGGATAGATGTTGGAAAGAATTACAGAAACAAATTAAAACATTACTGGCAAAGTGTTGAGATTCTTTAGTTATTTAGTAGACGATTAACTGTAATTAAACAAGGCAAAGGGAGAGGGAAGGGAAGGGATTGCCACTGACAGGTCCCGAGTATCAGCTCCGCCCTCGTCGTCTTTAAATCCACATTTCCTATTATTTTATAAATATAAATACTGATTGCAAAATGTTAATTGTGGGTGACTCCATATATAAACACTTTCGAGAATGGAAGTCAAGAAATTCAAACACTTTTTATGAAAGCCAAATGTTGTTCCCATACACAGAAGAGCCCTCAGCCAAAATTAAACAAAGCTAAAAATTATTCCGAAGAATGATAAATAAAAACAGACGACGAATTGTATTTTACTCCATCTTTTGTAAATTCTGACGTTCAGACTCAACGGTGTCGCATAACAAAGGCCCTAGTGCAGACAGCACTTACCAATTTCCTATTCGATATCCGCGAAAAAAAATAAAAATACCCGTAGAAAATATTAACTAAAGAAATAAAATCTTCTACTCTCCTGCCACACAGGAGTTCAGTAGAGGTCTCTCGAGAACCTTTAGATTTAATAAAAGGGACGAATCTCTTGACCAGTTAGCAACCTATCATGAAAGACCCTACTCCAAGGAATCAATTTGTATTTGTATAAACATGAGAGATAAGGAGAAAAATAAAAAAATAATGAATAAAAGGAATTATGATGGTACTTAGATATAATGGAACAAGATTACGACAGGGACAGTAATATTAAAATGAAAACCGAAAAACTTCAAGAGTGCTTCTACTTGGGAATATCTGAACTACACAAATCACAGCCGGAATGAAATAAAACCTAAGATGGCCAGTAGCTTTTATAGCTTGTCAAGCTTTACTACCAGAAGGCCACATTAATCTACAATCTTGATGCTGTGTGGCATGTGGGTAGTAGTTTTTCCCCCCTTTTTGCATATGACTGATGGTGGGTATGATGAGACGACAGGTGGCCAAAGAAACTGCTACGCCATGTCGTGACATAACTCAAACCATATTCACATATCCCATGTTAGTTACCAAACCCTAGCATTAGTCCATCTTAAATGCTGACGTAAAGAACACACATTCTGATACCTCTAACCCTAACCGCACCAGAACATAAATCAACTTCCCACGGGTCAGCAGACCAGAGCAAACGATCCACAGGTAAAATAATATACCAGCACAGAAGGTAACAATG